ACCTCTGGATCTTATAATCTGTGGCTTCTTCTACAGTGATCCCTGAGCTTGGGGAAGAAGTGTGAGACAAATGCCCCATTTAGAGCCTTTAGTGTCTTATTTTCTGCATGGTGACCAGTTGTGGACCTCTATATTCATGTCCATATACTACAAAAAGAAGGTCCTCTGATAGGGGTTGAAAATGCATTAATCTATATGTATAATGATAGGAACTTAAAGGGCAGTTTATTACTATGTCCATTCAGCAGGATAATAGCACTAAGTTCTCTCCTAGGGAATATGATCTGTTTAGCCATATATCATGGCCCAATCAAGAGTACCAGGTAGGAGTTTAAACTTGGAGAGTTTTAAGTCCAATCAGAAAGTGGTTAGTTTCTCCCATAATATTCATTTGTGTCCCTATTACATGAGTGGTCATATCTTGTCAGGCCAGTCCTTATTATAACTCATAGTTAAATAACACTGTTGGTCACTGTTCACACCAAAAAAATATGCACAGAACCTTCCAGCAATATGAAAGCTACTAAGGATGAAATTTTTTGGTCAGTACCAGCTTGATTTCTCCATGTCCTATGACTCAGGTATGTGGTGTCTGCAGCAATTATGCCTTACATTAAGTTTTAGAAATACCTAAGCTCAATAGTGATGCCCTGTAATGTTTTGAGGAGGGAAATTGGCAGGGAGGGGGTTCTGAACACACTCAAAAAGAGGTAATCCATATCTGGCACTGGGCTTTTTGTCTGACAGCTTGGGTGTTTGAGAAAGGCATTCTGCCACCCCTGTTATAGAGTAACTACCCCAAACTCCTAATAAGCAGCTATAATAATAGGCCTTAATATGTCATTTTCAAAGGCCTTTAGTGTTGTTATCCTCCATGAATTTCTCAGCCCTCTCCTACTCTACCTCATTTAACCCTTCCCATATCATTATTGAACTTCACTCTTCATACCATGTCCTTTCTATCCCAATTCCCTAGAACCCCACTCCCATGGCCCCTTACTAGTTTCCTATCATATCTGGGTACTCTAATTTAGACACATATATCTGAAGATTCAAAGCTAGCACCTCTGTATAAGAGAGAATATTCAATGCTTGTCTTACTGGGTCAGGACTACTTTACTCAGAATAATTTTTTCTAGTTCCATCCATTTACCTATGAATTTAATAATTTCATTTTCCTATGTAGCTTAATATTCCATTGTGTGTATGCATGGCATTTTAATTATCCATCATCAGTTGATGGTCATCAAGGCAGTTTCCACTTTATTGCTTTTGTTTGAATAGAGCAGCAATGAATATAGAAAAGGACTATTCCTGTAGTATGACGTCTTTTGGGAATTTGTTCAGGAGTCGTATAGCTGGATCAGACAGTAGATATATTTCTATCTATCTGAGGAATGTCCACACTGAATTCCTTAGAGCCTGTACCAGTTTGCATCCCCACCAGCAGTGAACAAGTGTTCCCTGTCCCAACATCCATACCAGCATTTGTTGTCTTTTTTAAAAGTCTTATCCATACTGACTGGGCTAAGATAAAATCTCAAAGTAGTTTTAATTAGCATTCCCTGATGGGTAAGATGTTGAACATTAAAACAAACACAAAAATGTTTCTTAGCCATTTTTATTTCTTTTGCGGCCCTTCTGTTTAATGCCATGCCCCACTTTTGTTGTTGTTGTAAGTTTTTGTTGTTGTTCTATGCGCTGACCCTCTGTCAGATATATAGCTCGTGAGGATTTTTTTCAACTCTATAGGTGATCATTACTGGATTGGTTGTGTCCTTTATTATACATAATTTTTTTTTTAGTTGCGTGACATCCTATTTGTCGCTTAGTGGCCTTAATGCCTGTGCCTGAAAATTAAAGAGCTTTCCCAACTTTCTAACTGGTTCAGTGTACTAGGTCTCAGGTTGATGTTTTTGATCCATTTGGAGTTGCTTTAGGCAGAGTGGAGATGAGGGTGTAGTTTCATTCTTCTACATTTAGCTGTCCAGCTTGATTGAGACTATTTGCTGAAGAAGTTATTTACTTTGGCCTCTTTGTCAAAATTAAGGTGGGTCTAAAGTGTGGCTCTGTGTTTGGGTCCTCAGTTCTGTGCCATCAATTGGTGTGTCTTGCTACGTCAGTACCATACTCTTTTTATTACTATGGTAATGCCTCCAGCAGTGTTTTCATTGTTGAGGATTATTTTGGTAATCCTGGGCCTTTTGTGTTTTCATATGAATCTTGATATTTTTTTCTGTGAAGAATTGAATTGGACTTTTGATGGAGATTGCATTGAATTTATAGATTGCTTTTGATAGGTTGGCCATTTTCACAACATTAATATTACCAATCCATAGCATGGGAGATCTTTTCATCTTCTGGCATCTTCTTCAGTTTCTTTCTGTGGTGTCTTAAAATTCTCATTGTTCAAGTCTTTTATTTCCTCAATTAGATTTATTTCAATATATTTTATTTTGAGGCTATTGGGAATAGGATTGTTTGCCTCTTTTATTTCTCAGTATGTTTGTTCTTGGTATATAGGAAAGCCTACTGGGTTTTATATGTTGATTTTTGTATCCTGCTATTTTGCTGAATGTGTTTATCAGCTGTAGAAGATTTTTGGTGGTCTTTTATGTATAAAATTACATTATTTGCAAATTGGGATACTCTGATTTCTTCATTTACTATTTATGTCCCTTATGTGCCCACTGAGGATGTGGGCACATAGACTGCCAGATCTATTTACACAGGTTTGAGTACAGGCAATTTTTTCCACTGATGTGTTTGTCTGTGATTTCCCTGTATATGACTCAAGTGGTAAAAAACAGTGTTTTAAGTGACAACAGGGGTTATATCTGGAGAAAAATTGTATGAAAAACTTTATATGAAATTGTCTTGTGCAAAGCTAATAACAGAAATGTGCTGGTTGTGTCAAAATGGTAGTTATGAGATTTGGCAAAGGTTGTTTTTGAAGCTTATACTGTTACACTGTTTTTAAACAATACCTTATTTATTCTTTGAAAATTTTGTGTATTTGTACAATGTATTTTTTAAATCATTTCTATCCACCATTAACCTCCTTCCAGCTTCTCCTGGTAGCTCACATCCCATTTTCCTCCAAACTTCATTTGTTCTTTTTGTTACTAATAATTCTCCAGTTCCTGTTAGTGCAGCCCATATGTGCATGGCTATGAGACTGTGCACTGGTGCAGGGGCAACATACCAACAGCCATGCCTCAAAGGAGAGTGACTCTGTCACACAGCATCCTTCAGTTGCTAGGAAGTCCTCTGCAAAGGGTGGAGCGTTGATCTGACCATCCTGATCAGTGCTGGAATGCTGACTGGCTGAATCTTGTACAGGTCTTTTTTAGGTAACCACACTTGATGTGAGATGACATGTCCAACAGCCATAACATCTCCCAAATCAGCATTTCTCAGCTCTCCTCTCCATCCAACTATAGATTCTTCCTGCCCTGTCACTTGTGATGTTCCTTGAGCCTTGGATGTGAGGGAGGTTGATACAGATGGCCCACCTACAGCTAAGCACTTACAGTTTCTTATTCTCAGTACTTTGACCTGCTCTCACTGTGCACTAACCACTACCCACGGCAAAAATCATCTCTGACCAAAGCTAAGAGCAACAGAGATCTATCAGTATAAGCATAAATATTTGGAAGGCAGTTTGACAGCACAACAATGTAGCAAAAGAGTAAGAGTAGGTTTCTCCTTGGGCCTGTGACCTCCCTGGTTATGGACTTTTATAAGGTTCGCAGTACCGCACATGTATTTCTTTCTGTGGAGGGGGGCCTAATTTCTAATGAGAAAGCAGTTATTTCCCTCCATAACCATCATGCCCTTATTGTACCAGTGGGCACATCTTTCCATGCAGGTTGGTATTGTAGCATGCAGTGCCCAATGCTGGGCGAGACATTGGTGTTTTTTCTCCCCTAGAAGCCTGCCTAGCACCTTATGTATGTAACCGAACCATAAGATAAAGGGTTGCTTAGTCAGCTAAAGTAGATTTGCTGATATCCTGAGTCTTACTATTTTCTTATAGTGGGCATCCAAGAGCAATAGCCTATGTTGTTCTGTGTGCCTCTGAGGCCTCTGTGACCAATAACTTGTAGGGAGATGCCTTTCTCTGACATTTTCATTTAATAATTTATGTAATATACTTCTGTTCAAACTCATATATATATATATTATGTTTTTGATAATGTTTATATATAAATATATATTTTTATAAATGGGGTGGGTTTCTTGGGCCAATTTTCTATCTCGAAGCCACTGGGATTACAGATCTGAACCACTATGTTTGACTTTCACTAAATATTAATTTCTCATCTATGTAAAGTGTTGTGAGTTTGGTGATACACATATAGAAAATATTTAACTCAATGAGTTATAATCACTTCTTTGTCCTGGGTAAATACTGTACCATGTACTTTATATGAATTCTCTTGAATTATACAAAAGCAATTATATAAAAATATAATAATGGAGGATTAAACTAAAGTTAATTACCCAAGAACTTACAAAGGATTCTGGATTTAGAGGCTCTGTCCTTACCCCGACCATACCACAGTATCTGTTCTGTTTTTGTTTTTTGGGTTTTTTTGGCTACAAGGTCTCTCACTATGTAAGACATTGCTAACCCAGGCTAGCCTCAAACTCACAGAGATCTGCCTGTCTCTGCCTCCTGAGTTCTGGGGTTAAAAGTCTGTGCCACTATGCCTGGGTTTTGTGCTACTTTTACCTTGATGCACCCCTTTCTAATCTCCGAGCTCCTTTAAAATTCTAACACAGTTTTTTTTTCTTCATGGGTTCATGTGAACAGGTTAATTTTCCCTTGTAAAGAGTCAATCTTTAAAGACAAAGCCTCATTGTATTTTATTTCTCACAGCCCTAACAGAGTATCATACATCCATAAAGTACTCAGTAAATATTTGAACTCACAATAATACCTCGAACTTCAATGTACTGTTTTAACCTATTTCAAAAACGATCTTTTCTCGTAGCTCCTTCCAGCGGCCACGTGGCTCTCTCCATTTGGATGATGGCGAATACTGGCCCAACAGAGCAGGCTCTTTTAAGGGGAAATCCCACCGACCCGTCTTTGAGAACAGCATGGACAAGATGTACAGGAACTTATACAAAAAGGCCTGTAGTTCTGTTTCTCATACACAGGAAAGCTTCTGAGACCATCACCATAACTTGTATGAGTCAACCTCTCAATGAAAGCGTTTGATGTGATCTGTATTTGTATGCCTTTCTTTAAAACAAGTGTTCACTGAGTAACAATTAGACTTGAACCCAGTATATTCCTTCAAATGGTAAATTATCACAGTCTAGCCTTTATTAGAGAAGAATGTGCTGTTTCCAATGTCAAAACTCTGCAACACAGTTACAACTTCCAGTTTGTGACAAGGCTGTTCTGCCACATGTGCTCCTATCATCACTGACAAACTGAAGAATAGGTTCTTTCTAGAATGTTCTTCCATTTTTATTCCCTTTTAACTTTCTTTTCACCTACTTGGCTGGTTATCTTATTTGGGTAAGATTTAATTAATATCAGCTCCCTATTATCAGTAATGAGCAGAAAGATGTTCTCTGCAGAAATGAATTTCAAGAATTTAAACCTGTTTTAATCAATATTATCTATTTTTCCCCTCTAGAAAAGGCTATTGTATTTCTTAGGTCCTAAAAACTAGCTTTCTTTGTAAAATGTACACACACATTCACTCCTTCTCTGGAAGACTGACTTATCTGAATGTCTAACAGATCAGTTTACTTGAAGAGACCATGGATGATTAAAAATGTAACTAATATTTTAGTGTTGAATTATTTGCAATATTTTCTTCTAGGGAAAGACATTTTGATGCAAACATAATAAATAAAGCATCCTGTGTTGATAAGGATGTAGAAACTAAAAATAAACAAAAATAAAAGAAATATATTGTAATTTTACCTCTGGTATTTTCATAGGTATCACATCACCAGGCAACTAGCATTCATACTTTAAAGGGACCATGGAGGGATTAAAATAGCTCAGAAGCTGTCTTCCAATAGACACTCATAAACCCAGTGGTGGATTGATAAAATATGTTTCCCCATGCCTCACATACCCATGAAAAGTGACACTTTGAAAGTGCAAAGAAATTGATTACCATTTGACCAGAGTGAAGGGGAGATAAAGGGAAGTGAGACGTGAAACTGCTGGAAGCTTGAGGAGTTGACTACAAGGGAATTTTGTTTTGTTGACTCCACCATTCACTAATTCTACATTTTTTATTTTAAAAGAAAAAAAAACTTTGACTTGCACTCCATTTCAATCTGACATTAAATTGTGACTTTAGATGACATACCTTTATATCATAATAGAACTTTTAAACATGTCAAAGTATTTCAGTTTGGCAATCTGTACTATATCAAAATGAGCATCATGAGTAAGAGCATAGGTCTTGAATTCCATCTCATCTCTGCTATTTTCTAGCTGAGTCTCTTGAATTCTGTTTTCTCAGCTGCCACAGGAAGAATGTGGAGTAGTCTCCAAACCATGTCCTGTGGATGAGAACCAACATTCTATGAAATGAGTGTAGGAACATAGACCTAATATCTTATTGCTTGTGTCTGCTTACTACACACACACACACACACACACACACACACACACACACACACACACACCCTCAGAGAGCTGTTGGTAGAAGGCTAGGAATGGACAGTGTGGGAACAGTATTGGTAAGCTGGCCCTCGGCACAGCTTCCCACTGTTTTTCAAAGAGCTGTTTCTATAATAAAAATATATGTATTTTTTTTCAGAAATATGCATTTCCATTGTTTTCTAGTATGCCTTGTGTTTTTACTTTTCTGCTCATTGCCTGACAAGCCAAGATTCTCAGGGCTCTTGTTCACTTACAAGACAGTTCATTTTTTTTTTTTTCATTGATAGTAGATTCTTTTTGAGTCCTTGGGAATCCAGGCCACTGTGGACAGGGAAGTAGGTAGGCTAACTGCCAATCTTCACCTCTTCCTTCTCCAAATCTATTTCCTCAGTCTCATCCCAGCTCCGTAGCAGACCTCCTGCTGCACATCACCCTCCTCCCATCCCAACCTCTAGTCAATCACACAGATCTTCCCCTCCAAACTTCCTCTAACTCATCCCATTATCCCAGTCCCCAACTCCAGGAGTCATTCCCAACCCACAGGCCACTCAGGTCAGAAAAGCAGGTAGGCTAACTGTGGATCTTCACTTTTCCCTCTCTTCCTCCAAATCCAATCATCAAGTCTCATCCCCAGCTCTGTAGCAAACTACTTTTTGTGTCCTGTCTTCACTCTCTGCCTCTCTCCCCAGGACACTAAGCAGATCCTGGTGAACCATCCTGCTCTTCTTCCTCCTGTGGACACCCTCAGCACTCCTATCCCATCTTCATTCCTAAGGATCAGGCACCAAATGCCTAGAAACACATTTTACCTGGAACCCCCAATGGCCACACTTTGCAGGATCCCAGAAGAATTCCCTAGCAGACAACACATAGCCACCACATTCTCCTGTGAACCAGAGAGGGCAACAAAAACAGTTGGAGCCCATTTTTCCTAGTGACTTTACCCAGCAGGTCTCCATAAAGAGGATGATTGGACCATGGGCCTGAATACAGGTGTCTGAGACGGTCTTCACATGGCTGTGCTGGGGGAGGTCTTTTGCTCCACCCCTTGGCATTCCTTTAAATACCCTCGGGCAGAGACAGTGGAGGCCTGATGGATTAGGATTCAGACCCTCTTGAGGCTATCCTGCATTTTCTATCTTTTTCTCCCCTCCATCCTTCTAAGTAATATTTCCTGCTGCTCCTACTCAAGAGTACTCTGGGGAAATGTGGGGGTGAGGGATGGCCCCCCACAAGAAACAAAGGAACAAAACACCTACCCAACTAAAACAAGATCAGCTAGCAGCACCTGGAACGATAATCTTCCCAAACCCAAATGCCTAGAAGCCAACATAAAAACAACCAAAACATCTAGGACAATATATCTCCACTAGAGCCCAGAAACCCTGCCTACTTCAGTAAGCCCTGAGAATTCCAACAGAGCTGAAGCATAAGACAAAGGCCTTAAGATATCATTTATGAATATGATAGAGGTCCTTAAGTAGAAATTAATAGATCACTTAAAGATGTCTGTGAAAATACAGACAGTGGAAGGAAATGAATAAAACCCTTCAAAATCTAAAAGTGGCAACAGAATCAATAAAGAAAACCTAAACTGAGGGAAATCTAGAGTGAAAAATGTAAAAACTCAAACAGGAACCTCAGAGGCAAGTCTCACCAACAAAACACAAGAGATGGAAGAATTTTAGTTACTAAAGGCAATAGAAGAAATGGATACATCTGTCAAAAGAAAAAAAAAAGTTAAATCTAAAAATATCCTGACACAAAACATCCAGGCATTCTGGGACACTATGAAAAGATCAAATCTAAGAATAATAGAAATAGAGGAAGGAAAGAAAGGTCAAAGGCATAGAAAATATTTTCAACAAAATCATAGAAGAAATATTTACAAACCTAAAGAAAGACATGCCTGTCAAGGGACAAGAAGCATATAGAACACCAAATAGACTGCACCAGAAAAGAAAGTTCCTTCAGCACATAATAGTCAAACACTAAACCTACAGAACAAAAAGACTATTAAAAACTGCAGGGGAGAAAGACCAAGTAATGTATAAAGGCAGACCTATTAGACTAACACCTGACTTTTCAATGGAGACTCTAAAAGCCAGAAAGGCCTGGACAGATGTTCTACAGACTCTAAGAAACCACAGGTGCCAGCCCAGATAACTATCTAAACTAGCAAACTATGATTCACAAAAGATGGGGAAAATAAGATATTCCATGATTAAACCAAATTTAAGTATTATCTATCTACAAACCCAGTGCTAAGAAGGTGCTGGAAGGAAAACTCCAACCTAAAGAAGTTAACCACACCCAAGAAAACAAAATGAATAATCTCAAACCATCAAATCAGGAGGGGACACACACACACACACACACACACGCTACCACTACCACAACAACAACAAAATAGGAATCAACAAACACTGCTTAGTGATAATCTCTCAATATCAAGGGTCTTAATTCCTCTATTAAAAGATAGAGAATAAGCTGGGTGGTGGTGGTGCACGCCTTTAATCCCAGCACTTGGGAGGCAGAGCCAGGCGGATCTCTGTGAGTTCAAGGCCAGCCTGGGCTACCAAGTGAGTTCCAGGAAAGGCGCAAAGCTACACAGAGAAACCCTGTCTCGAAAAACCAAAAAAAAAAGATAGAGAATAAAAGAATAGCTGTGAACACAGGATCCATCTTACTGCTACATCCAAGTAGCAAATCTTAACATCAAGGGTTGACATCACTTCAGGGTAAAAGAATGGAAAAAGATATTCCAAGCAAATGGACTTCAGAAGCTTGCTGGTGTAGTGTGGAGACCCACTCCCACTTTTACCCCAGGGTACTCTTTTTTTTTTTTCAATTTTTATTAAGAAATTTTCTATTCATTTTACATACCAGCCACAGATCACCCTCTCCTCCCTCCTCCCATTCCCAAGCCTTCCCCGCAACCGACTCCCCATTCCCACCTCCTCCAAGTTAAGGTCTCCCATGGGGAGTCAGTAGAGTCTGGTACATTCAGTTGAGGCAGGTCCAAGCCCCTCTTCCCTGCACCAAGGCTGCCTGGAGCAGAAATAGATGAGATCTACATGAGCAAACTTGGGGTGTGTGTGTGGGGGGGGGGAGGTAATGGAGGGCCCAGGGTACTCTTGAGGAGGGAGAAGTGAGAAATATGTAGACAGCAGGATAGAAGGGAGAGAAAAAGATAGAAAGACAGTATAGACTCTGGAGGACCTGGATCCTTATCCACCAGCCCCTTCTGTCTCTTCTAAAGGGCTTTTTAAAGGAATGCCAAGGGATGGAGCCAAAGACCTCCCCCTAGCACAGCCAAGTGCAGACCCTTCCAATCACCTGGTAACCACGCATGTGGTCAAGCAATCCTCTAATGCAGCTCTGCTGGCTAATGCAAGGTCAGATTTCACTAGGAACCTTTGTGGGCATCCACAGTGTAGCCATTTTAATATCTGACGAAACCTACCCAAAACTTATCAGGATAGGGAAGGACATTACATACTCATCAAAGGAAAAGTCCACCAAGAAGACATTGCAATTCTTATTATCTATGCAACAAACAGAAGGGCACCCAAGTTCATAAAAGAAA